CACAAAGAGAAGCCCCAACCACCGCCCTTCTCCCGGCTGCCGCACTTCCTCCCGCTCAGCACCCTCGGGTCCGCAAGGCTGCCTCCCGTTAGACAAAGACGAGCCCTGCCCCGCGAGCCAGACGGGCGGCCGCGGGGCGAGAAGGCGCAAGCACCGCCGCCTTCCACTTAGCCGGTCACGCCCAAGCCCCAGCGCTCCGCGGTCTCCTTCCCGGAGGCGCGACACGCCCGCGGTCGCCCAGGGCGCCGCACGGAGAGCGCGAGGCGCGTGCATCGCCACCCCCCCACGCCCCACTCCCTCCCCGAGCACACCCCGGAGGTTCTGCTGCAGAAGGTCGTCCGACCGAGCGCCTCCTCCCGCCATTGCACGGCGTCTCTCCGCTTCACAGCGCCTCAACCCCCGAGCTGCTCCACGCAGCTCCGCCGCCGACGGAGGCGTCAAGGAAGGGCTGCTCCACGCGCCCGTCCAACAAAGCGGCGCTCCATCCCCTCTGAATCCGGAGCTCGCCCGGACGCCACCCCAAGATTTTGACCCAGCCAGAAGGAGAGCTGCGAGGCGCAAAACGCGCACGGCACGCCCAAGAGAGCTTAAACGGCACCCTCACCAGTGAGACCGTCCCAACAGACGCAGCCCGAAGCCTTCCTGCAGCCGCTCTGAACCGTAATATAAAAGGAGCGTCTCTCTGCGTGACCAGTTATAGCCCCGCTTTTATGCAAATTGCAGTGATGTCATCCCAAATCTGCTTAACTGTTTCACCGCCGAGCCAAAGCTCGACTTCCCTTAAAACAAAAAAACACACACAGACACACACACACACAAACCATTAAGGCAATGTTCGGGCATGAAACGGAAAACCCCTCCCTCCAATTAACCCGCCCCTGAACATAGAACGAATGATGTGCCCAAGTTTCGGTTCTCCCGGAGCCAGAAATGTTGCGCGGGCTCGATTTCCAGCAAGCGCGTTTGCTAGCAAAAAGGGAAGGGCTGGCTTTCCTCAGACGCGGCTTTTATTCCCGGACTGAGGGGTGATTTCACCGTCAGGCTGCAGACCAGGAGCGCGCGCAGGAGGCCTAGTTCGGTGCGGGGGCTTGAAATCACGACGCAGTTCTATGTGCTCGCGGTCGCCCGCATCCCTTCGGCCAGAAATGCGGGGTGGGGGAGGGGCATCCCCGCAGCGTCGGAATTCAGCTGCGTGGCTGGGGATTCCGACGGCGCGAACAATGGCTGCTGACGGAGGAGCCCGTAGTAGGCAACGCCTAGATTCAATTGTTTATAGGAAAGCCATCGATGGCTGTTTTTTAAACTGGTTAGCTAGTTCCCAACCCTGGGGGAGCGTTTTTATTTATGTACGCTAAATGTTGGAAGTGAAAAAGCAAATGCACTCTGCAGTCTTTCTCCCGAAGCCTTTGCTGTAATAGTTTCAAGAGCTTAGCTCAGAGCTTCACAGAAGACAAAGACATTCACTTCCAGGATGATGAGCTAATTGAGAGTGCAAGTATGGCGTGGAGGTAACCAGAAGAAAGGATTATGAATTCTCAACAGGCATTTCCTTAACATTTGCAGGAAGTTGTGCGTCAGAGTTGTGATAGGATACACTCCAACCATAAACGGCTTGTAAAATTATAAGGAGCGTAATCGCGGATGTCTCGGGGGCTGCTTCCACGAGGCAGTCTGTTGCTCAAATGGTTGCCTATCGTGATATTCTGGAGATGCGCCTCTGCTGCTATTGAGCAACATCTTCTGCTTAATTAATCAGATCATGCGTATTTCCTCGTGTGTGGCGACCCCTCCTCCCCATTTCCTTCAGAGCAAGAAAGGGGGGATTCTGGCCGGCCTCCTGCTTTTGCAATTTCTTCTGCAGTCCCTGGCAGTCTCACGTGCCATGCTTTCTTCGAGGCTCAGCAGACAATAGCTCCAGTGTAAGGAGCTTCTCGTTCCTCTCCCCCTCCCCCGTTCTTATAAACCGTGCATTCTTGCATGTTTCTGTCTGGAAGAAGCACAATCTAAGAACCTATTGCAGAAGGAGGGAAGGGAGAATTTTGAAAGAGGCATCGCTTAGGTGAGCAAGGGCTAGAAATATTTCAGGTTTACTCAAGAATTCCAAGGTGACACATCTGAGAGATTAAACGTTTGTTATGAGAGTCATAAAGTCTGGAGAATATTGAGACAGACTTCTTTAGAGACATATGGAGGAGAAAGATAGGAAGAAAATACAATAAAAAAGCGTAATGTTTACATTGGCTGGATTGTTAATCAGAAACATAAAAGGACAGGCATCTACAAAATAGTATAAAAATAAGTTTTTATGTTAATTTTCCTTGAGGTGATTGCTTTATCTTTCACATTTCCCAAATTATTTGTTTGCATTTGTTAGCTTATACGATCATGAAAACTTGCTGACTGATTATCAAGGCCTTTTTTTTCTTGGATTGGCAGGGAATTCTTTTAAAACTCAGATTATGACCAAATCCTGATTTATGGCAACAAAAACAAACAGCTAACCATAGAAGTGCCTTCTGCAGTGTTCTTAGCATGTCAGTAGGGAACTCAAACTTGTTCCTCTCCTAACAAACCACAGAATGTTCGGTTCTGCTGCTAGGCAAACCAAGTGTGGGTGTATGAGTTCATTCCTGGTCATTATGTGGCCATTGGGAGTGGGGGGTGTCATATGTTACAAGAAGGTCTCTCTATGTAAATACCATAGGAACATAAAAATGTGGAACTTCTGTCGTGGAGAAGAACAGAAGATGGTTAGTTGTAACCCACTGGCCTGCAGAAACATCTGGATTCAATTCCTCATGTGATCAGGTAGGGCTAGAAGAGATTCCTACTCGAAATGCAGAAGAAACGCAGCCCGGCTAGGACAGGTTAACTTACAACTAGATGGACCAATTGGTCTGATTCAGTATAAGGCAGTTTTCTATGCTATTCGGAATGGAAGTACCCTGCAAGACCCTGAGTGAGTCTTGCCATCTATTAATCTTAAATCTATCAATCTCTAATTTTTCAGAGATACCACTGACAGAACTGTGATCTTCTGTATATGGTGCATACTGTATGCTATAATAGTGAGGCAGTGTTCAGACGACTTAGCCACATTTCATATGGCTAGGTTTGTACTACACACAGCCCAAACCAGCTGTGTTATAGCTTCACATGTTTGGGGAGCAATCTGAGAGTTGCCATGTCCCTTTTCAGTTCATCTGTGTCACACATGCCAGAGTGTCTGCACCAGATCCATCTCGAGCCTGGTGGGGGAGCTTTGGAACAACCCCAGCTGTGGGGCTTGGTTTATATCTGTGCAAATGTGTACAGCAACTGAGTTCATGTAAGTTATGCTCATAATTCATGATGAGGGGAAAATAAGCCAATCCTATGCTTCCTGATACTAACATTTTACAATAGATGCTGTTTTTGAAAGGACACACCCAACTATTCCTACCTCAGTAGAAATAGCTACATTCCAGAATTAGCCAGACCAGGTCTATCAACCATAGAATGGGAAAAAAGGTACTTTCTACTGATAAATTTTCTAACTTTGCATAAACATAGATGTGTTCTTGGAGATACTAATCATGCAGCGGTAAGCAGGCTCTATCAATAAAGCAGTCACAACCTAAAGCTCGAGGGTTAGTGTACTCAAACAGTAGATTATGCAGTAGAACAGTTTTTTGGGTTGTCCCACTTGAGTTTGCAGCAGAAGGCATGTCTGAATACTCTCTCAGGAGAATAAATCTCTATGGGCCAAGAACACCGTGTCCATTTGCAGAAGATACAGTCAGGCAATTCACCCCTTTAGCTTGAAGTGGTATAGCTTAAGAACAATTTTACAACATGATCTATGGTTTCTGCAAAGCAGTTTCCCCCCATGATTGATTACAATGCCCAGAATGCTCAGCTGGGAATTCAGGGAACTGTAGTCCAGCGCATTTGGAGTGTGCCAGGCTTGGGGGATGCTGTAGATACTTGTGTCACGGGAAAGATCCCCAGAACAATCTTGTTGTTCAGTCGTTAAGTCGTGTCCGACTCTTCGTGACCCCATGAACCATATCGTGCCAGGCCTTCCTATCCTTCACTGCCTCCCTG